ACAATTCATATATTAAACCTCAACTAATGATTAAACCCACTTCAATATAGCATTTAAATTAGTTATAAGCAATACCCATAAGCTAATTCAACCCCTAATCACATGATCACACCCCAAGAATTGGGGCTTTAGCCAAACATCATAAAAAGATAAAAACAACTACCAAATCGATTATCTATCAACTGGGTAAGAGTATTCAAGCCTTTACAAGGCTCAAACTTGAAGAAAATCAGTAACCCACTTGCAAAATCTCTGAATGAGTCTCAGAAAGCCTTCAAGTTTACTAAGAAACTATCAAACTTCCAAAAGAGAACTATTCTAAATGGTAGTAAGCTAAAATCTAGATAAAAGAACTCCCTAAATTAACAGTTCAAAAATCTGGATAAAAGAACTCCCTAAATTAACAGTTCAAAATTCAATTTATAGTCGCCAAAAATTAGCCACGAAGGGCCATTAGGCGAGGTAAGTCGGGTTCGCCGAGTGGTTCGGCGAACCGCCCTTTGCTCTCTCTATCACCTTTTTGCATTGGCTCTCAGCATCCTCAAGTCCTGTAACTTTGGGCGATCACTCTTGGCATTGCGGAACTGATCGACGATTCGCCGATTGCCCCTTTCCTGTTGCCGACTTGGTTTCTTCCCTCAGGAATGACACACTGGAACTTTAGGTAGACTGAAGAGCCACTCGGCGAGTCGTTGAGTGGTCTTGGCGATCATTAGGCTCGCCTTTCTCCACTTCTTCAGTTTGTTTTGTTCCTTTTTGCCTGTTAGTGTCTTTACTGTGCTCCTCAATCCATATACCTGAAAATCAAGGCTTTAACATCAGTTTATGGTACAAATTAAGCATTTGAGGACACTAAAACTATATAAACAAAGCCCTAAATGAGTCCAAATCTCCGTCACAAAAGATGATTTTGAGCCATTGTGAACCATAATACCACCCTTGGTGGAGTCCACTAACTGAACACCTAATTGGGCCAATCTGTGAACATCTCAAACCAACTCTTTCTTACCTTCTTCAATATGAGCAACACTACACATGGATAACCGACTAAGATCATCCACCACAACATTAGCTTTTCCGGGGTGATACAGAACACTCATATCATAATATTTTAATAACTCAAGCCACCTTCTTTGGCGAAGATTTAGATTTTTCTGATTAAACACATATTGCAAACTCTTGTGGTCAGTAAACACAAAAACAACCACCGCTAATTCAAGGTCATGGGTCAGATAATTCTTTTCATGAATCTTAAGTTGCCTTGAGGCATAGGCAATGACTTTCCCATTTTGCATAAGCACACATCCTAGCCCAATTATTGAGGCATCATAATAAACAACAAAACCATCAGTCCCTTCCAGTAAAGTCAACACCGGAGCGAAAGTAAGTCTATCCTTCAACTCTTGGAAACTCTTCTCACATGCTTCGGACCATATGCAAGCTAACATCTTTAAAGCCTTTGAACACATATGAGATACTTCTTGAAGTAACCTTAGTTCATTATTAATATGTGAATTAGCCTTAACCGACATAGAGACCATGTGAGATATAACATGATCCCCTGGTGTCTCCCACACTGAAAAGGGTTGTCCTACTTGCAAAGGTAAGGACCATGAACTTCTAGCGTAGGTGGATCCACTAGCTAATGTCTATCTAGATAATCATCATATGGGGGCACATAGGTAAGGGATAGGCAAATTGCTTCTAGAAACCCGACCTCTACTAGTGGGAGAGCTTTCATCTCAATATCCTCTCGGTGCTAAGCATAAATTCCACGGAATAGTCATTTCTTACTTGTTCTTATTATCCATGGAAGGGCACGTCATCTTTCCATTCCAAGCTAAGTCATTATCCATGGAAATGTATCATTCAATAACCAATCCAAGCTAGATTTCATTAGGATAGCTCTTAATCTTTGATTCAATTAGGTGAGAAGACCTTTCAACCTTAAAATCCTTATTATGTGAGAAAACCTTTCACAATCATGCTTTCATGTGTATATGAAAAAATCTTTTCAATAACACATCAACAACATCATCATTGATACTTTACTCTCAAAGCATCCTTAAAACATTTGCATAGATTTCATAAGAACATGCATAATTCCATAATTTACCTTTTAAGGTTCAAAACCCACTTTCAAGCATCAACATTTAGAAAACATGGGATAGATATGGGTTTCATCATAAATTCATGTAATTCTATCAATACTTGCTTGATTTCATAAAACTCTTCCTTTATAATCAAAATCCCACATCACATGATCATAACTTGATAACATGGGGATTACATGAGTTCATGGGGAAATCATCATAAAATCATAGTATTTTGATCTATTCATGCATAAGAGATCATAATTCAATCATTTAAACCAATAATCAAGAGAACCCATGACAATTGAAGAAAACCCTAACTCAATTGGGGATTTCTAACTTTGAAAATAGAGGAATTTGTGAACTCCATGAATGGAAGGAATCCATGGATATGAAAACTATCATACCTTACTATCAAAGCCCACAAGCAATTGGAGAATGGAGACTTGACCTTGAGCCCTAGCTTCACCCTTCTTCTTCTTCAAGTTCTAGAGAGATAAATATTTGAGAGTTCTTCTTTTTGATCAATTTGAAGAGAATGAACTAATTTGGGGGTCATAATCACTTATATAGGGGTATCAGTGAAGGATAAAATGAAGTAGTATAGGGATAAAATAATTAGGAAAAGACACAACTACCCTTCAACTAACTGTCGAACCTACCATCCACGGCCACGACCGACAGACCGTGGTCAGGACAACGTTCCATCCTGCACGACTGTCGTTCGTTGTCAGAAACATGATTTAGGGCCATTGAACCATGGGTCCCCCAACCACGGACCGTGGTGTGACCGACGGTCTGTTGGTCAGATCGTGGTCCTGGGCCTTCAGGGTCTCTTTGGGGGGTGACTTCCACGGACCACACCTACGGTCTGTGGTGCCATCCACGGGACGTGGGTGGCCTCCGTTGGTTGGCTCCTGCAGCTTCTGAAAAATGTTGTCTTACCCTCTTTCGGATTCAGGGTGTTATAGGTGTGTGGTAGATGGGGGTGTAAACCCCTAAATTTGTATTGATTAATAGACTTTAACATTGATTGTATTGCATGGAATTATTGTTGTCTTGAAGTTATAATCAAAGATCGGTGGTTAGAAATATTGATTAAGCTCTATAACACCAATTTTGACTTGGAAAAGCTTAAGGGAGTTGGGTAAGACTCAATAGTGAGGACTTGATAAAATTTACTCTATGAGTTTGAGCTAGGGATGAATTTTTTTGAGTATTTTCAGATTTAATGATATTGAACTAGGAATAGTCTATCTACTCAAGTTTTGTTTGATGTTTTATTGAAAAAGGTGTTGAAGTTCGGGAGAATCCAAGAGGTATACGTTTGATAGTTTAGGAGAATATCGAGTGTTTCTTACACCAAACAGTGTCCATCGTATCAATTGATGTTGTTCGGTTAATTTTTACATGTTCAAGTTGAAACCACTATCGATGTGCACAGACCCCTAGTCTTTTCCAACTTGTTTTGATCTCATTTGTGTTAACTCCCTGTTTTGTTACTTAATTTTGTCGAAATCATATTTGTTAAATAAAACCCCCCATTTTCATATATGTTTATTGGGAATTCAATTCGCTATCATGTTTGAGTGATGAAAATCAATTGAAGAAGAGTCTCATATGCCAATCCTTATGGTTTGACCTCGACCTCATAAGTTGGGTATTTATTTTACATATGATCGCCTATATCTTGAAAAATGGGACATAGTCAAGAGTTTATCACGCTCCCTAGTGTAGTAGAACGATGGAGTGCTCCTTATGGTGATCTGCCTAGTCTTGGGCACTATTGGTGAATTATCCTTCTACCGGGTTTTTGTTATTATTCTTGATTGTCATAAGTGTTTTTGAAAAATAAATATATCTAAGCAAGTGGGTAAGTAGAGCAATGAGTTAAATCAATATCACAATTGTCCTAGCCCCATAGAGAGCATCAAATTGTTTATTCGTATATTGTTACAATTAAATTTGTTACGAGGTTAAAAACACATGGATCAACTTCACTAGTTAATTAGATATTAAGCAAATAGATGTGTTATTAAATAATTTTATAAAGAACAATATTGTAATTTAATAAATGAAAGAAATGGTAATCTTTAGATTTCGTTGCTTCAACTTCGATCCCAAATATAACTTCAAGGTATTAATTAGCTCCCAAATCAAAGGTGTCGGGGTGTGTATTCTTAAGAGTATTGCCTTGATCAATACTGTAATGAAAGAGAAAATTTATAGTGTAAGAATCTATGTATATTTCTTAGCATTGTAAAAAAATTCAACCTTTTATAAATGAATGAAACATCTATTTATAGGCAATAAATTAAATAAATCAATCAATGAAATCACTACTCTTGGACTATATGTATAGACTACATAATCCAATGAAAATGGTACATTTAGAGCTATCGCTACGTACTCCAACGGGTAAATTTGTCGTGATTCACGAAATCTAGTATGGACCTAGCTAATATTCATGTCCCTTCTCTCCTTTAATACGTCTTTTGGCCACAAGTCCTTTATGCCATCTTCCACGAGTTTCCAACGTTATCTGCAATAAACCTTTGGATATATAGTGATTTCAATTATTTTTTCAGTGACTTCTTGAAGGAAGCTTTTTTTATGATTTCTTTCTAACTCATTCTTTGGTTATATTCCAATGACATGTGCGCTCCATCCTAAGCGTCCACCTAGTAATGGTTTAAAAAAAATCTATGCATAAATTTATGGATCAAGTTTTATATTTTAAAAAATTAAAATCACAATTTAAAATTTGCAATCATATTTTTTTTAAAAATGGGGATAATTTGAAATTAAAATTATATGCATAAGGTTGATTTGAATTCAAAACATGAAATTGGATGGTAAATGTGATGGCAAAATGGCTAGTAATAGTGAAGGGATTTGATGAATTATGAGAGGCGTGAGTGTTTTTATTTAGGAAATATAGTCAACGTTTTTGTGTGAGAGAGGCTCCACTTCCTTCCCACACCAACTCCCTACCAGCTGAGCAGGAGAATACTTTGCTACCATCTTCCTTCCTTTCAGTATAATATACCCGTTTCATCGAGTAAAAGTGGAAGTTGATTGAAGAAGAAAAATGGGTTGGGGGAAAATGTTCTTCACAGTTGTGATTACGTTTTCAGCAGCATTAATCACATACAACATTCTCATCTCAGCAAATGCTTCTTTCAAGCAAGAATTTCCTGGTCCATCTTCAGCAAAAACGTTGTTTTCTCAAGATCCAATTATCAAGATGCCATTAGAGAGATCAAATAACAACAACAAGAAGAAGAGGTTGTTTCATACAGCTGTTACATCTTCTGATTCTGTTTATAACACTTGGCAGTGTAGGATTATGTATTACTGGTTCAAAAAGTTTAAAGATGAACCTAATTCTGAGATGGGTGGCTTTACAAGGATCTTACATTCTGGAAAATCAGATAGATTCATGGATGAGATCCCTACTTTTGTTGCTCAACCACTTCCTTCTGGAATGGATCAGGTCAATCAATTTATTAGAGACTATCTACAATTTCCTATTCCTTTTCTCATATCTCAACATGTCAATTTCAGGGTTATATTGTCCTCAATAGACCATGGGCTTTTGTTCAATGGCTCCAACAAGCACAAATTGAAGAAGACTACATATTGATGTCAGAACCAGATCATGTTATTGTCAAGCCCATCCCTAACCTATCTAAAAATGGACTTGGAGCTGCATTTCCTTTCTTTTACATTGAACCCAAAAAGTACGAGTCTGTACTAAGAAAGTTCTTCCCTCAACAAAACGGACCTATAACCGATATTGATCCCATAGGAAATTCACCTGTCATTGTTAGCAAGGTACTTCATTACTATTATTTTTTTTATATATAAGTTTGTTACTTAATTCTTCCTGTTGCTTTTCTAAACGAAAAAAGTTACTTTAGGAAGCTTTAAAGAAGATAGCTCCCACATGGATGAATGTTTCTTTGGCCATGAAAAAGGATCCTGAAGCAGACAAAGCCTTTGGTTGGGTGCTTGAGATGTAATCACCCTGCCCTACCTAGTTACTGAAAATTAATAATGCATAATCACAAATTCCCTCAACTTTATAATTCATATGCAGGTATGCCTATGCAGTTGCATCTGCTTTGCATAATGTCGGTAATGTATTGCACAAGGAATTCATGATTCAGGTATCATCATTTGTTTTTCCTATTTATTTATTCCATTGATAGTTTACATTATTGCCTTTTCCACTCCAAGCCAAAACAGAAATAAAGAAGATATGCTGTTGCCCAAACAAATTATTCAGCTATGGTGTGTGGGTTATTTTTCTTTGATCCGGTAAAAGTGCAAGTTTCATTACTGAAAAAACACCCAGAAGATGCTTACGATGTATAGCAAAACGAATCACTGGTGTCAAGTACTAATGCATTTTCAGATGCTATGCTCAGTAACTACCTTGTATAGAATGCTAACCTAACTACTAATACAAATAAGACTACTATTTTTGAAAGTGCTAATGAATGTAGAATATTGCCAAGTGAATGTATTCTTTGATTCATGGATCAGTATACACCTTTTCCATCTGATTTGAGTGCCTATCTAAGACTTCCAAAGTATATTGTGCATTAGGGACTTGCTTATAGCACTGAAATTTTTCTAGATATAAACATAGGCCAAATTTGAAGAGGTTTCTGAGAAAAGGCTTTCATAGCATCCAGGTTCTAGAATAGCCATTTGTTTATTCTATACACAATGAAACCAAAGATTTGATGCTTATATTTCATGTGCTGAAGACATCCTCTGTGAGATGCTTCATCCCCCTTTAGCAATAGAGACAAAAATTGTTGCAGAAGTATGAATTTTGGTAAAACATTAAACCTTTTCTTTTTTTAAAAAAATTGTTGCTTCACTAGAAAAAGTCTTAGGGCTCGTTTGGTTCGAAGGATAAGTTGACAACCAATCCCAGAATTAATTTTCTGATGAGCTTATCTCATGTTTGGTTGAGATAAAATCGCGGGATAACTTTCCCGGGATCAGTTATCCCAGGATTGTAGTGTTATTTTTATCCAGCATTGAGGGTGGGATAACTAATTCCAGGATAATTAATCTTGGGATAACTTGTTCCCCAGCAAAATGAGCCCTTTTTGTCTATAATTTTTGATTCTATGTCTGGAACACGTGTAAAGACAGGAGTTGTAATTTGAATGGCAATGCAATTCTTGTAAGAAGTATCAATTTCCTGTAGCTTTTGCCTTTTCCTCTTAATTTTCATACGATCTTTAGAAGTTTGCACTACTTTGAGCAAACTGAAATAGCATAGCTCTCCTCGTTTACTCTCAAACCTCCTCATTTACTCTCAAACCTTCGTCTGTTCCATATATGCATCTGCTGATACAGTAAGATTTATCTCAGATAGACCCGATTTCATTCCTTTAACCTTTTCATTGGTGTGGTTAGCAGCATTGCTTTTCTGCTTTTCATATACCAAAGTTGCAAAGACTTCCTGGTTAATGTGGTTTTATTTGTTTCATGGGGAGTACATCTGAAAATTTAAATCGTTATTTGGTTGTGAGGTGAAGTTTCATTGCATTATTTCTTCCTTATGTACCAGAAATCTAATTTTCCATGTATTGTTGAATGTTTTCAGCCTCCTTGGGATACAGAAATAGGCAAGGCGTTCATAATTCATTACACATACGGATGTGACTATGATATGAAGGTAATAGCCACTTCCTACGACTATGAGAATACCAAGTTACATGTAATAAACATAATGATGATTGATGGGAAGAACATGCATTTCAGGGAAAGATGACCTATGGAAAAATTGGAGAGTGGAGATTCGACAAAAGATCATATGATAATACCTGGCCACCGAAGAACCTTTCTCTGCCTCCACCTGGTGTTCCAGAGAGCGTGGTATGGTTTCCTGTCTTAGTCAGTCTCCATCTTAAGCTTTAATTACCAGATCATAACAAGAAGGGGTCCAGGAATCAGGAGGCATTTTTTTTCTTATTATCAAATTATACATCTAATAATTAAAATCATATCTTATTGTTCAAATATATTTTAAAAATAAAGCTCATAATTACTTTACTGATAAACGTCCATTTCTATTTTGTTTTGCTTCTCTATTGCTGTTAACACTGGCATTGCTATCTTTTTACTCAATGGATGATTTACTTTCGAAATAATGGTGGTAGAAGTGAAAAGGTACAAAAGAGTCTTATCATCTTGTACTAAAATATTTACTAGTAGCATGTAAAATTTTCCAAATTCTGAACTCTGGTGAGATATTCGGAAAAGGTTTTGAAGTATCAGAAGAAATTATCAATGGATGATTTCCTTCATCTTCATTTGCATCATGCTCTTGGTAAGAAATTGAATGCTTTCTTCACTTGATCAGAAGTTGAAGCCTCGAATGTGTAGAGAACAAAATTAAGCTTTTTTCATGATTAGCTTTTAAAGTCTGTTCCATATGTTCATTCTCAAAAAAAAAAGTCTGTTCCATATGTTAGTTTCTTTGTCAACTCTGTTCATTACACTCTGTCAGATACTTCAATATCAGTTTGAATTATTCCAAAACAAATTCTAACTTAATGAACTAGCTCCACAAATATCAACTTTCCCTTATAGATTCACCTAATCTATTTTTTCCCTTTTTCTTTTATGTGTCTAAGTAAAACAATTGATCTAGTTGATAGCTTATATAATGGTTAATGGTAACTGTGTACAATTAAGTAACTTGCCCTTAAATGGAAGTGAGCCTATTTCGATAGAACTTTTAACAGCAAATTATAGTGGGTGGGACGAAAAAATATTTGACCTGAAACAAGGCTTATTTAAGCAAACAATAATTAGTACATATTTTATTTTTGAAATATACTTCATCTCTGTATGTTCCGAGTGCAAATGTCCCTAATAATTTTCTTTTGATCTATAAATGAGCTTAGATGACGTATATTTTTCTTCTCCGTATTGGTGCCTTACAATCCACATTTAATGTTGAGAGATCTATTTTGATGTTGTGGCATGCATGAAGTGCCTGTGGTCGATGACAGAGATCTTCTTTTGACCTTTCATCCAATTTCTCTAGTTGAGTATGAATGTAATTGTTTTTGGCAGGTTACTCTGGTAAAAATGGTGAATGAAGCTACAGCTAACATTCCGAACTGGGGTTCTTAGAACTGTGTTGTGATTGAAGCTATTCCACTCACGCAAGATGTATGATGGGTTTGTAGTTTGTAGTTTCTATACCCATGTTGCACACGAGAAAATCGTGTTCCCTCCCAATGATCATTGTTAGAATATTTGAAACTTTCTTGTATGCAGTTCCATCTGTCCTTTATCCTATATGTTCCAAACCTCTGTGTATAGTTGCAAATCTATTCATATGCAGTAGGCTGCCATGTTGAAACTATTAGTTTACTAGTTGCAGCTCTTCCCATTGTTAGCGACAATGATGGGGGATCTCAAGTTTTTCGTTATTTGTTGCTTTCAGATAGACAATATGTTCTGCATAGAGCAACAATCTGGATAACTTCAAGGTTTTGCTTGTGTTATCAATTTACAAGGCTGCAGTTAAAGTGAGCTACAAACATCCTCTGTACTAGTTAGAATTCAATTCACTATCATGTTTGAGTGGTGAAAATCAATTGAAGAGTCCCATATACCAATCCTTGTGGTTTGACCTCGACCTCATAAGTTGGATATTTATTTTACATATGATCGCCTGTGTCCTGAAATATGGGACATAGCCGAGAGTTTATCACGCTCTCTACTGTAGTAGAACGATGGAGTGCTCCTCATGATGATCTGCGCCGTCTTGGGAACTATTGGCGAATTATCCTTCTACCGGATTTTTGTTATTGTTCCTGATTTTCATAAGTGTTTTTGAAAAATAAATATATCTAAGGAAGTGGATAAGTAGAGCAATGAGTTAAACCAATATCACAACTGTCCTAGCCTCCACAGAGAGCATCAAATTGTTTATTAGGATATTGTTACAATTAAATTTGTCACGAGGTTAAAAACACATGGATCAACTTCACTAGTAAATTAGATATTAAGCAAATAGATGTGTTATTAAATAATTTTGTAAAGAACAATATTGTAATTTAATAAATAAAAGTAATGGTAATCTTCAGATTTCGTTGCTTCAACTTCAATCCCAAATATAACTTCAAAGGTATTAATTAGCTCCCAAATCAAAGGTATTGATGTGTGTATTCTTAAGAGTATTGCCTTAATCAATAATGTAATGAAAGAGAAAATTTAGAGTGTAGGAATCTAGGTATATTGCTAAGCATTGTAAAAAAAAAAACCAACCAATTTTTATAGGCAATAAATGGAATTCATCCATCAATGAAATCACTCCTCTTGGACCATATGTATATACTACATAATCCAATGAAAATGGTCCATTTAGAGCTACTGTTACGTGCTCCAACGAGTAAATTTGTCGTGATTCACGAAATTTAGTATGGACCTAGCTAACATTCCTGTCCTTTCTTTCCTTTAATACGTCTTTTGGCCACATGTCCTTTATGTCATCTTTCACGAGTTTTCACCGTTATCTACTATAAACCTTTGGATATATATAGTGATTTCAATTACTTTTTTGGTGATTTCTTGAAGGAAGTTTTTTTTTATATATAACTAGTAAAATTACCCGCGCTTTGCGCTTGATTTTAGTATCACGAAATTTATAAAATAATACTGAAAACTTATCAGGCATTAAAACTAAAACACTATATTATCTTACATACAAGATTACGTAGTAACAAACATTAATAATGTAAATGAAAATGAAAATTATTACATCTTATCATTTATCCTTAATACCATAAGCATAAATTAATAATTGTAAAAATACATACCAAGTTTTGTAATGTAAGCAATGGTGTCAGTGAGCCTCTCAACAGGAGCAAAGTACACAAATATTTAATTGTGAAGAAGAAGAAGAAGAAGAAGAGGAGATTAATAATGTAAAGGAAAATGAAAATTATTACATCTTATCATTTATCCTTAATACCATAAGCATAAATTAATAATTGTAAAAATACATACCAAGTTTTGTAATGTAAGCAATGGTGTCAGTGAGCCTCTCAACAGGAGCAAAGTACACAAATATTTAATTGTGAAGAAGAAGAAGAAGAAGAAGAGGAGGAGGTTCAGAATTTTCGTTGTTTTAAAATGAGAGGAAATCCCTGTTCATTACACTCTGTCAGATACTTCAATATCAGTTTGAATTATTCCAAAACAAATTCTAACTTAATGAACTAGCTCCACAAATATCAACTTTCCCTTATAGATTCACCTAATCTATTTTTTTCCTTTTTCTTTTATGTGTCTAAGTAAAACAATTGATCTAGTTGATAGCTTATATATTGGTTAATGGTAACTGTGTACAATTAAGTAACTTGCCCTTAAATGGAAGTGAGCTTATTTCGATAGAACTTTTAACAGCAAATTATAGTGGGTGGGACGAAAAAGTATTTGACCTGAAACAAGGCTTATTTAAAGCAAACAATAATTAGTACATATTTTATTTTTGAAATATACTTCATCTCTGTGTGTTCCGAGTGCCAATGTCCCTAATAATTTTCTTTTGATCTATAAATGAGCTTAGATGACGTATATTTTTCTTCTCCATAAAGGTGCCTATTAAATGTTGAGAGATCTATTTTGATGTTGTGGCATGCATGATGGTCAATGACAGAGATCTTATTTTGACCTTTCATCCAATTTCTCTAGTTGAGTATGTATGTATTTGTTTTTGGCAGGTTACTCTGGTAAAAATGGTGAATGAAGCTACAGCTAACATTCCGAACTGGGGTTCTTAGAACTGTGTTGTGATTGAAGCTGTTCCACTCACGCAAGATGTATGATGGGTTCGTAATTTGTAGTTTCTATACCCACGTTGCACATGAGAAAATATTGTTTCCTCCCAATGATCATTGTTAGAATATTTGAAACTTTCTTGTATGCAGCAGTTCCATCTGTCCTATATCCTATAGGTTCCAAACCTCTGTGTATAGTTGCAAATCTATTCATATACTACAGGCTGCCATGTTGAAACTATGAGTTTAGTAGTTGCAGCTCTTCCCATTGCTAGCGACAATGATGGGGGGATCTCAAGTTTTTTGTTATTTGTTGCTTTCAGTTAGACAGAGTGTTATGCATAGAGCAACAATCTGGATACCTTCAAGGTTTTGTTTGTTATCAATTTACTAGGCTGCAGTTAAAGTGAGCTATAAACATCCTCTGTACTCATTCTGTTCTGTTCAGGTCTGAGTGAAACCATCTTTATGCTGACCATCCTAACATTGATTCTCGTGCTTCCCTGTTAGTTCAAAAAATTAGTTAGAATTTATGCATCCTAAATTGCCTTACAAGTTGCAGAATGGCAATCTGGAGGATGGTTAATATATCATATTGAAATTTAGGCATCCTAACTCCTTGAGCTTGGTGATCAGTTCAGTAAAACTCAACTCATCAAACGTACAACATCGTATTACTCACCTTATTGCATTTAATTCAACCTTGAGGCAGTAAACATTGCATTTGTTAGCTCAATTAGTGATGCAATTTTAAAATTACTTTGCAAGAGATGGAACTTACGTGGAACAATGTGATCAATTAAGATTTGTATATAGTCAATCCTAACTTGTTTTGAATTGAAATGGTATTGTTGCTGGGGTGTATGCATTTATTAGCAGAATAGTAAGTAAGATTTGTTTGGTGCTATAACTTAAATCAAGAAACCAAAAAACTGCAGATCGAGATATTTAACGTAAAAATAAAATATTTATTTACATACATACATCTGAATGTACAAGATTATAAACAATGGTGCTGGCGTTTCACGAGAATATTAGCACGTACTTCTGCTGAGGCCAAATAATTACATCCATATACTTCAATTGGCTCCCAGATTATGAAGTATCAAGCTCTCTCAGTTTAGATACAGCCGGCAATTCTTTGAATTACAGTAGCAGGGGATTTTTTCGCCTTCATCTTCATGGTTAAAATTGTAATCATATGTTATCTCTTCTCCAGGATAGATATCTCTCTCAGCAAAAAATACTACCTGCATTATGACACTATTATTAACATATTCTGATTGAGACAACTATGAAATATAACAAAATATAAGCGAAAAGAAGTAGAGTGGAATGTATCTACCTTCTTCTCATTCCTCACAGAAATGATTCTGGCAACGCAGTTTGGCTGGTAAAATGAATTAGCAAAATAAGAAAAGCTGAGTCCATCATACTTGATCAATCAAACTCACATCAATCTTTTATATCTTTTTCTCTTATATAAAAAACATAAATTACATCAAAATTATTAAAGCAGAGATGACGATAGAAACAAAATGTCAAACAGCAAGCACTTCATCAAAATAGTTATACGAAAGAGTAACATGATTGAGCAGAGAGAATAATTGGACAAAATTGCTGTGGAAGACACCTACCAGGCATGAATGGTTCACAAATCGGGCAATCCCTCCCTTTTGGGTTGCATCGACTATATGCTCTTGATCAATCCTAAAGAAATAACAAGCACTCTTATACTGCAATTTCTTTCCTGACAGGTACTCAATTTCTCTTTTGTCAGCCACACGGAGCCCCACTATCTCACCCACATATTCAACAACCTAGAGGTAAAAAGTGAAAGTAAAGTTAAATTTGCTGATGAGAAACTTACAAATTCAGAGGAAGAGAATAGAGACAGATGAGACCATTTCGCTTTTTAAAATAAACCTAGACGTGTAAAGACCAAGAGCATGAATGCCAGATTTATACACAACCAAACTCTTCCACCCTTTGGAGTGCTTATAGCGAACATATTCCTTCTGCAAAAATAAAGAGTAAAAAAGAAGTAAGAACACATCGGTAGTTTAGACTGAAATAAAAGCGCACAAGAATTAAAAAAGCTATACACGTGACTTCTCAGTAGGAACACTATAGGTTTGACAATTGTCAAGCAACCCAACTGTTCCAGACATACCCGATAATCATATCCAACATCTTTAGGTGGAAGCCTCAGAATCTCCTTTCTTGATGGCTTTTGTCCAGTTATGTGAATCCAGGCATTTAATTGCTCCTGGGCAACAAGGCCTCCACCGTCAGACTCAGAATACTGATGAAGATTATACCGCACTCCTTCCTTTTTGCGGCCCTTGTATCCCTGAAGGTAGAACAATCTTAGAAAATCTTTATCCAAGAGTCAAGTATATCTAAACTGTTATTAAGAAACAACAAACCTCTGTTCGAGCACAGGTAGAACCTCCTTCTCCTGGATGAATACCTACAGTACCAACCAGATTATTGTTAGAAATGTCCCTAGAGCGATTTGAGAACCGGGTTATTGAAATCATACCTTCAAGTGTCAACTCATTAAGGCCCTGTTTGTGAAACTCCTTGGACAATGGCTTCTGTGGAGTTGGCAGAGAATCATCTGCAATATTACCAGTTTCTATAAGGTAATCATACCTTCTCTTCTCTAGAGAGTAGAATAAGTGAGCCCCTTGTTCACCTCCATGGCAATGCGCTCTTTTGGATTGCTCTAATGATTGGCAAGGATCCAATTCACTAGATATCAAGAGATGACTTTTAGATTTTTTGGTAGTTACAACACAATTGGCATTACAACTTTTGACTTTCTTGAGATATGGAGAACTGTTAATGCGTCGATGTTTTTCTTTTGCACTTGCCTTCCTGAATTTTACAGAAGTCAATTTTGCAGTGGAGTTTCCAGAAGAGCTATACTTTTCCAATAAGTCACAAATTTTTCTTAGAGAAACAAATTTGACTGGTTTTGATGGATTCGCATTAGAAATTACTCCATATTTCTGCCCCACTATAGGTCTTACAGCCCTTCTATAATCCTTCTCATGCATCTCAGGAAACATAGAGGTATCTACCAAACTGCACTTAGCTGCAGCGTCAACACCTAGATAATATCCCTCATCTGCCTGCCTAACAGGTGTTGCAGTGTCCAGTTTCATTCTCTTTCTTCTTGGTAATTCACAAGCTACAAAGGTATCATCATCACTGACCTTTAAAAGATCTGACTGAGTACCAACAGCTTTTGCATCATGGCAATTAACTTTACCACTGCAAGAAAGAGTATTCAATGAACGCATTCTGAATCTCCTTTCTCTGAAACTTGGTTCTATGGAATACACACATTTTTCTGCACTGCCATTTTCAGATAGGGGGGCACCTTTTTCATCATTGCACGGATGCTGCAGACCAGAACCACAAGTATCCTCTGGATAGCCACAAGCAGAGTAGACGGTAGGAAGAGTTATATCCAACTTTCTCCATTTGGTTCTTTTTCTAATTACCTTTTTGGAGAAATCAGACACTTTCTGAATATGGTGGCTCTTTTCTTGAATGCTGAAGCTAGAATGGTTCTGCATTTTGTTCAATTTTAAGGGATCTCTTAGTCGAAGTTCATCAATCATACTATCAGAAGAATTATCAGCAAACCCTTTGGATGGTCCTGCATCCATGGGGTTGAATTCACAAGCAACACCAAGAAACTCTGCACTTTGTTCACTGCCTTGTGCATCACTAGATGACCAACATCTGTTGATTCCTGATCCTTCATCTACAACATTACTTGCCACAGTCTTTTGATCATCAGTAGTGAACTCATTGTCATGAATCACCGCAGATGCCTCACTAACAACAGGTGCAGATCCTCCAGAAGAAACATTGGATATTTCTGGCTCCTTTAGATATTCAACATTTTGAAAAGCAACATCACAACTGGGTTTGTTTCCACTGGCATCAGCACTTTGTCCCCTCATTTTTTCATTCATGTTCAGGAAACCTGTTGTTTGTTCCTTAAATGTCAGACTAACTGCTCCAGTCACCTTTTTGGGAACATCTCTCCATTGAGAAGAGTGACACTCCAGTTTATTTATCCTATTCCACATTAAATCACTTCCTGCCAAAGAGGCCACATTGTCCAAGGGCACTTTCTGACTGTCATTCAACTTACAAGCAAATAAATTCTTAATGCAGCCAGAAACGTCACTCTGTTCTACCTGATAAGTATCCAGAGGTTCACCAATGAAATGATGTTTTTCAACAAAAACATCCGGCTGAACAGCACAGTTACAGAGGCAAGACATAAATGAATTTGATGCTTCCGGAAAGTAATTTGCTTGCTCAACTGATGGAGAAATATTACCTTCAGAGCCTCCATGTCTAAGCCCATGTAAAACCAAGAAATCAATCAGAACAAAAATTTGAAGGACTAGAATAAGATCAAGTCAAATGCATATAAACAGACATGATCATTGAAAGAACAACTGTTACTGATTTTCATTGTTATAGTATAGTTCTAAATAACTTTTCATTGATACAGTGAATTCAATTTCCCAAACCCCCTACCCTAGGAGCCCAACAGTAATCCTTTCCCACTTTGTTCCCCAAGTGACTTGAAACTCAACCTTTTGGTTAGTGGAGGGTCTTAACCATTAAACTCCTCCTTTGTCTATGGTTATCATATAACTTTGAAGGATATATTTAATGGGCCTCGCTATATTGCAGCATTTTCATTTTTTTTGTTGAAAAGTAAGTAAGTTGTATATTAAAAAGAGGAAAAGCTTAGCGCTAAGATGGTGCTAAGACAGTACAAGTATTATAAGGAGATCCCTATTGTTGCAAAGATTACATGAAATTTATCATGCTATGTTCATCCTTTACATCCGCGAGATTACTCATTGCACGAAAAGCTAAAAGCCATAGACATTTGTATTTAAGCTGCTGTTCACTATCCATATTCCCTTCGAAACATTTGGCATTCCTTTCCTTACATAAAACTAGATTGCATCATACAAGGATCCTCCTTTCTACTTTGAAGTAAAAGTAAATATATTTCCAATAGGCAAAGGGTTCATAAATATTTTGTATTACTCCAACCACTACCTTAAGGTTTTGGATTGGATGTGCCCAAATTCTTTCAAATTTCTAGATTCGAGTCTCGCTGCAGTCCATCAACGAGATATCTCCATGTGCTTGGTGCAAGAGGAAAAATATCGCGCTCACACATCAGAGGAAGAGGGCATACTACAGACATAATGAGATCAATAAAAGGGTTCCTTCTCTGGCATTCCAATTTTTAAGCTGAATTAGAGCCTGTTTGGATGGGCTTATAAGCTGGTCAAACTGGCTTAAAAGCCAGTTTTTGACTTATTAGAGTGTTTGGCAATTATCAAAATGACTTATTTTAAGTCAAAAATGACTTATTTTAAGCCAAAAGCTAAAAGCTAGGGGGGGGGAGCTTTTTTTTTTTTAACTTAAAAGCCCTTTTATGTTGACCAAGTATATGACCTTTTTGCCCTTAATTCTTTTATACAATTTCCAAATTGCCCATATTGAATTATTATTATTATTATTATTATTATTATTACTATTACTATTACTATTATTATTATTATTATTATAATTATTATTATT